TATTGAAAAAGCAAAAACAAAAAAACGAAATCCTATTCAGTGTCCTTTCTTCTTGCCAAGACAGCCCTGGACTACACAAGCCCAGCTCTAACACCCACCACTCCCACCATCTTTCCCATAAGCACTCTCAAATATGGCTTCATGTACTCCTCCAAGAGTCCCAAAGGCCTCATGTGATCTAACCAGGGACTCAGCATCAGTAACGATTAAAGAAATAAGTATTAGTTTCATTCAGAACCATTACGCTCTCCAAGAAAAGGCCCCTGCCTGTTGTTAGTAGTCGGTACATGAATACGACTGTCTACCATACTTATGTTTTTATCTCACAGGATGGATGCGGCTCTGGTCCTTTCCTCTAAGCATTTCTCTTCCTATGCTGTGAAGGGTGATGTAAACCAAGAGGGGGCTGATTATGGGACCGCAGCTCTAAGGCAACTTCACTTTATGCAGACCCCCATCACACACCCATCACAATTCAGAACAGTGGCACCAGGCAACATACTGAACTACAGGAGCTGTTTGGATTTTTGCACTTATTCTACACGTACAGGAAAAAATCATTTAATAGTTGTTTAAAGCAAACTTAGGCCTACAATGACACAAGTGCCAATTTTAGAATATTGTTCCCTCAAGATAAAAAAATCTTTAGGCTGCCAGGGATTTTTTTAGCTCAGTGGTTCCACAGCCTGCCTTGCAGAGGCAAGGTCCAGAGTTCAATCCCTGGTAGCAAAACAAAACAAAAAGAACAAGGCAAACCTGGCAACAGCACAATAATTTCCATACCAAAACTAGGTGATTTAGTGCCAACCTGCACCTGCAACTTGAAGGAGGTTTCTGCTTAATGCTGGGAGCACAGAACCACAATTACGTAATGGCATTTTATGACACTTTCCTACAGAAACTCACACTGACCACTCATCTATGGAGCAGGTCATACAGAATATAATTTCTAAGTTGGACTCAGCATGGCACCCATACTTCTCCCCCACCCCAGGCAGAAACTTTCTCCTAGAAAAGATGCGTGGCCACCTGAGAGTTGTTCTTGGTGTGATGTGCCCACTGGGTGCGGGGTGTGTGCTAGGTGCTTTGCATGCTCCGCAGGGAACCTGGTACTTACACAGCATTCAGCAGAACTGACGGGACTTCCAGCCCTGAGAAGTAGCCTCGGAGGGAGGGAGCCAGCGCATCTGAAAAGACACATGGGAGATGCTGTGAGCTACCGCATGCTGTCCTGTACGGAGCTCCGCACTGCTCTGATGGTCCCCATCACACTGGCCTGTGTGTGGCGAAGTGTGAGAGGTCTTTCACACACCCGTGGATGCACCGAGCTTTCAGGGAAACATCCACCTCCCGAGGGGCCTGAGGTTCTGCCAGCTCTGTGGCACCGTTGTCCTTTGAAGTTAACAGCCATCGTGAGGCAGTCTGGCCCAGTGAATCCATTTTCCACACTCACTTGGAAATGCCCAGGTGGGGAAAGGGCTGCCTCATAGCTTTCTAGGCAAGAAGTGGAAACTATTTCTCTGCTTTGATAAGCAAGCAGCAGTTTATGATCCCTTCAATCACAATGGCTTGGTCAAACCTTCTTTGAAAATCGGGTCCTATTTAGAAAAGAGGGCTCTGGTTTCTTGGCAATGAGAGATAACCTGCTAACCAATTCTCCCTACTCATTCTGCTGGGGAGGGAGGCCTGCAGCAATGGGCAAAAAGCCTTTCCAGGGAAGACAGAAGCTCCACCATCTTGGAATTCTAAACAGTAAGGCCAACCCCAACACAAAGGGACTGAATGATACTCTGTCCACTTGGCAGAATGTTGTGTCCTATACCAAAGAAAATGCGAAAAACAAACAAAAGGGCAAGCATACTTTGTTTTTAACAAAGAAATGTCAGTTTTTCCCAAAAGCCCTTAGATACAAGCAAGAGGTGGCTGTTTAAAACTGCTCTCCCTTTTACACCGAGGGACCACCTCTGTAGGACACCACAAAGCACTGCTGGGATAAGGGAGAGATTTCAGTGGAGACACCCGCAGGGCCATAGGGGAGGTGGTACTACCCCATGAGACAGGTAAAAGCCTTATTCAGACTTCAAAGCATCATGATGAAGCAGGAGTCATACTTGCTAAAATGGGGTAAAATGATGTTTAAGGCCCATGAGGGAACTCTGAAGAACCCAGGGACTGAGGAACTGAGGAAAACCTATTGTCCATCTTCTGAGGGAAAATCAGTTAAGATTTGGGCATTTTGAATCACGGTCAGAGAACTGTGGCATCAGGCTTGGGACAAAACTTAACCTAACTCGGGCCAGGGATTTAGCTCAGTGGTTCCACCTCCTACTTTACAAGTACAAGGTCCTGAGTTCGATCTCCGGTACAAAAAAAAAAAAGAAAAAAAGCTGAGCTGACCAGAAACTGGGCACTGTAGAGAAGCCATAGTGTCTCTGACCTTGCTTGATCCCCATGCAGAAGTATTTGGCATTTCCTTCTACCTCACAGGCCTTCTGAGAGGGGCTGCATCCTCCACGGCTTTCAGCGCAGGGAGGGAACCACACTGAGGATTCCACCCCCAGGCCCCTTTGGGGTAGAAGTCGCTGGCCTGACTTGGCTCACGTGATTTGAATGGACCCAGGGTGTATCTTGAGCTTCTCTTCTGACACCATAAATCCACAGCAGGGTCCCTCTGGCTGCCATGGATCAGGTCTCTGAGGATTGTATGAGAAACCAGACAATAGCAGGAGGCCTCAGTCCTGAGACAGCAAAACCATACTACTCAGGAGCCAACAGAGGCTCCTCAGCTCCTCAGAAAGAGCCATCTGTTCTCAGCACTTGTGGCAGTTGAGGGGTTGAAGGATCAGAAACTTCCCAGCAGGTAGATTAAAAACCCATTACTACCTTGAGAATTCAGAAGTAGATGGAGGGCAAAGGAAAAGAGAAAAGGAGGTGGTAAACAAAGGTGAGAGGAGAAAGGCAGCAAAAGAGGCTTGAAGAAGAGACAAGAAAAACTTGTACCTACCCTTGGCTTATGGTTTTGTGCCTCTGAATCCACTTGCTCACTAAGCAAAGAGCAGAGTTGGAGCTGCCTTCGAGACAGGTGGTAAAGGAGGGGTGTGGGCACAGGGCCCTGGGGACGTGCACACTGTAGAGGGGCTGGAGGAGTGTGCACTGGGTCAGTAGGGAGTGCGGGGACGGCAGCTGTGCTGCCTGGTGTGGGGCAGGGGCACCAAGCCCTGGGAGGGGGCCGCTGGGAGAGCTGCAGAGTGGGTGACTGCGAGGTGGAAGCCCTCACCGCCCACTCACAGCCCGGGCATTCCTCATTTGCACACATGCCTGTCCTCCAGGGACTCCAGGGTGACAAGGTGACTGATCGGCCGGTGGGCAGTGGGGTCCAGGTTAAACTGTGCTCAGCTGAGCTCAGGTGGAGGATGCCAGTGAGGAAGCGGGCCAGTGATTCTCAAAGTGGACTGACACAGTGGTGGGCAGGACAAGACAGGCCCCCAAACTCATCTCATGGCCCTCAGGGTATGGACCAGAGGGCAGGATCTCCTGGAAGACTCCAGAGATGCCCCTGGTGGCCTACTCTTCGGGTACAGAGGCCCAGCCAAGCGCACCTTCCAGCAGAGGGCAGTACCGACCAGGCTGAGAGGGCTGCGCCTCCTGTCTGCACAGGGAAGACAGCAGCAGTTCCTGGGCAGAGCTGCAGTGGGCCGTTGGCGGGTTCCACAAGCTGTTCTGTGCTCAGGTGCTGGTCGGTGGGGGTAAGGATCGCCTCCTGTCTGCACAGGGAAGACAGCAGCAGTTCCTGGGCAGAGCTGCAGTGGGCCGTTGGCCTGGTTCCACAAGCTGTTCTGTGCTCAGGTGCTGGTCGGTGGATGGCGGTGGGGGTAAGGGGCGGATTCACCCTTACTCTCGCTCAGGCTTTTTGTCCTGCTTGTGGTCCGGGGCCCCAGTTAACTCTCGATTCCTGGGGGGCTGTTTTAGATGCAGCAAACCTGCAGCTTGCCACAGTCTCCTGGAGTAATGCTTCTCTCCATGAACAGTTCAGCAGGGCTTAAATCCACTCCTTCCAACCATGGAACAGTAGGAGCTGGCCTCCCGGGACAGCATCCTGACCCTGTTCCACCTCGGCTGCAGAACAATACACACAGACCTGCACAGTTCTAGGGGTTCTAAAGTCCCCATCAAAACCTCTAATGTAATATACCTAACCAACAGATTCTGAGTCCGCACCAGAGACCGTGCGAAGTACTTCACATGGACTAGGAACCAGGTGAGCACCGTGGAAGGCCTGGGGATTTTCTCCACTGCACCAGTGTCACAGGGAAACCTCCACCCAAGGGCCCTCTTAATTCAGGTAAGCTCTTTGAGGAGGTGGTGCCCTACAGCAGTGACCCTGTCAAGTTCCAACACCTCAGAGTGGCGGTAATTTGGACAGGATTAAAAGACACTCAGAAAAGAAATACCCAGAAATAAATGACTGGAATAAAAAATAAAACAATACCAGGGAAAGAAGTCACAAAAATACCTTCCGTCCACCTCCATTTACAGATGAGGACGCCAAAGCCCAGAGGACTCAAACACTCCAAACAATGACGCCACGGACAGGAAAACTCTACTGTCTCTGACGCACTGTGCCTTCCACAGAGGGGTGTGAACAGCACAGGGCAAGGCACAAGAGTGGATCTAGGCCCTGGACCCAGCCGGTATCACACCTGCCTTTAGAAACACACAAGAGAACTGCTTACCAGGTGCTGGGCAGTTAATGGTCACTACTGTTAGTAAACACCCTTGGGTCTGACCAGTTTCTTTTCCACTGAGTTAAGGGTTAAGTCCATACCAGTGGTTCTCCAAGAGTAGCCCCTGGGCCATCAGCATCACCTGGAATTTGTCATGAATGGAGAAAACGCTAATGGTGGGGCCCTGTAACTTGCTATTTTTCATGTGATACCAAGGACTGAACACAGGGCCTTTGCACTGAGCTGCATCCCTAACCCTTTAAAAAATTTTGTTTTTGAAAAAGTTTTGCAAAATTGCTCAGGCTAGGCTAAAATCTGTGGCCCTCCTGCCTCAGTGTCCCAACGTGCCGGGATACAGGTGAGGGCCCCCACACCTGGCTATGACATACTTTCAACAGCCCTCAAGGTGAATTCAACACACACATTTGTCTGCTCTTCAGTGGGTTCTACAAGTGCGGCTGGAAGACCCATCGGAAGCTTGCCTGGAGGCCAACAAATGACAGAGCATGGCTGCCACAGGTTCTTCTTATACGTGGCACACAAAAGGTTCTTGAGAAATTCCCAAAAGCAAAAAATACAATGAAATGAAAACAAACAAGACAGAAATACAGAAAGAAAATTAAGATTTGATCGATCCCTTCCTTGCCCAAGTTTTTCTGACCACAGAACCTTCTGATTGTGTGACAGCTATTAATTCCTGTGAGCCTTGAGAAATGTTCATCTGGAAGGCCCCTGCCAGTGATGACTTTTTTAGGATCGAGGTGGCTTAGATGCCATTGTGAGACCCAAGTTCCTACCTCCTAAGGAAACTTCTTTGCACGGAAGACCTGCACACCAGCCAGGGGGCTGGATGTCGGGGGCGGGGGGCAGGTGTCCTCTTATCTTTCCCACTGCTAGCACAGAGCTGCTCATTATGACGTTCAGAGCAAAGCTGTCCCTCTTTGAAAAAAAATAAAAACAGTACCTCAAGCAAGTACTGTATGTGAGTGACTCCAACAAACTGATTGGCTTTTAAGTCCCGGACAGTCTTAGGCAGGTTTTTATTACTGTCCCCCAATGGAGCCCTCTATTCCTCTGAGGGGGCTTCCCCGGCCCTGAGCCCCTGGCAGCAAGCCACTCACACACTGCTTTAATGAAAAGCAATTTTGCCTCTCTCACTGCAGACCTTGGGATCTCCTCCTGGGCAGGATCATCAAGGAAACCCCATGAGGACCTTCAGCAGGTTGTTGGGCTGCGAGGCTGAAGAGGGGATGCAGGCTGAAGCCCATTCTGCCCCAAAACACTCCACACTCGCCCAAGAGACTGGAGTTATGAATTGCAATATAAAGGCTATTCTCCTTGTAGTACCTACTGTTTTCAAACAGCAGACCTCCTTGTGTCTAATAAAGCACTGCCACAGACTGAGAAAAGACTTTTCAACATGTCTGCTCTGCATAAATGGGGCTCACTGAAGGTCCCTTCTGAAGTGACCCCCTGCTGCTCTGCCACACCAAGCTAGCTGCCAACACTCTTTCAGCATCCACACAGAGCACGTACTGCAGTCAACCCTCCCACTTGTCAGGCACTTGCTACTCCCAGCCTAGGGCAATTAAACACCTTGCTACCACCTTGGCAAGAAGTTAACAGGCCTGCCGTCTCATCAGCCCAGCTGGAAAGGTGGTGCGCATGAAAGCCATGACTGGAGAAGGCCAGGCTCCATCCACTGAGGTCTGGGTGGGACAGCGAGGCTCTAGGACAGTGGACACTGCCCGCTAAGACCAGTCAAGGCTGGCTTGAATTCACCACAGGCCTTCAGGGACAGTTTCTTCTCCTGGGCTTTTAAACTTGTTTTCCTGTCTGTCCTAAGCACAAGTCAGGCTCCTGGTTCCAAACAAGCATGTGAAACGTGCTAAGACATCTCCAAGTTCATTCAAGACGCCACTTGAGCTGAGGGCACCCAAGCGTGTAACACCCTGTGTCAGACTAAGTCCACAGCGGTTGCTTGTCATCCATATTTAATTCTGTCAGCCTATTAATTTTTAACTATGTTTGCTATCAAGGGCCATTAGAGGTCCCCAGGAGGGGCGCTCAGTGAAGCGCGCAGAGCTTTGTGGCGGAACGCATGACGCTTGAAGTTGGGGTGTCCCGCTTTCCATCCTGTCACTGGGTGCTGGCCCTCCCCACTGGCAGAACAAACCCTGAATAAAACATGATCCCATTTGGAGTTGATTTTCCTTCTCGCCCTGTCACAACTGGTTTCCTTCAAGGAAAAGGTCACTTTCTCCTTCTATGAAGATTATGTTGTATAATTCCAAAGTTTCTTTGTAGTCTTGGGTTTCTTTCCAAAGCAGTTAGGCCTTGTACACTTCTGGGCACTAACAGGTACCTGTGTGGAGAGGGGTCAAAATGTCTGGTGGACTCCAGCTGACCCCCAACAGGGCCTCCTCAGTCCACACTGCAGGCCACTTAACATCAGTGCCCTGCTCCAGCTACTTCTCTTCTGGACCCAAGAACAAAGCCCAGGCCCTAAGATCCCCGGACTGGAGGCATAGTGTTGATGTGCTTCTCACACTCACAGGGAAGGCTCCGGGACCTCCGACCTGCACCAGATTAGATCAAGTGCTTACAAAGGGCAGGTACTGGAAGAAATATTTTAATAATTCCTACTCTAGCCGATGCACTTAACTCTTTACTTCAAAGTAACTACAAGAGGTAAGGGTTTTTCTTCTCAGATAAGGAAATAGGCACGATGATTGAAAAAAAAACTTGCCTAAAATCTCTAATTATGCTGTGTCTAATAACTCATTACAATTTGGTTTTGTCAACTGTGCAGTGGGGCCACACATTTGTTAGCAAGTGTAGGAGGCTGAGCTCACCAGCACAATTTGCAGGAGTGACTTGATGAGACTTGGACTTGGACTCTGACAAGTACGGTCAGGGACAGTCTGCACAGGACCCAGGGAGCCTGCCTTTACAGAGGACAGTGTGGGACATGCTTAAGAACCCTGAACGCGCAGTGCACCAGCTAAGGTGCACCTGGCTGCAGGCCCACTCTGGGCTGTTCTCCCAGTCCTGACTTCTGGGGTAATCCGCCGCTTGGGAACTTTGGCCAGGGCCGCACAAGCATACACATAGGGACTGTCTAGTTTTAGAAAGCTGCCAGTAGGGGACTGTCTGGATTCAGTACAGCTGCTCTGGCTAAAGGAACAAGTATTTCTAGCATGGCTGGAATTGGTAAAAGCTTGGAGTGCTCCTAAAGGGCTACTGGCAACAAACAGGGAGAATGTTTCTCGCTGTCTTATGAAAAAGTTCCTTAGCTTGCCAAATGCCAGCACAGATTTGGGGAAGGGATGGACAGGGTCACCAGGGAGATCATTTACTTGGCCAGGAGTGGGTTATATCTCCCAAGGCCCAAGCCAGCCAAGGAAGCTGGGCAAATCCTAGTACACTAGGACTGTGAAAAAAAACCAGGGAGAGTGTGTGTGTGTGTGTATAGTCTTTCTCCTCCAGTTTCTGATAGGAAAGAGATAAGGCAACAGCTGGAAAGTTCTGGGACAGTGGCTCCATGTAAAGCAATGAGAAACAATGTCCTGCTCTGGGACTTCAGCTGTTTCCCACTCTTGATGTGCTGCCCATCACAGGAACATTTTTGGTAGGTGGACACGTCCTGCCCTGTGTTCCCAGCCTGGCCTGTCTTCTGTGGACTAAAGACACTGGCGTACTCCTGGAATGGCCCAAGTGATAGCACAGGTCTGCCCACAGAAGGAAAAGGAGACTCATAGTAACTAGGGGAGGCATAGACTGTTCGCAGGGGCTAATGCTGCCCATCTGGCCTACCTGCCTGTCTCCTGTGAACACCAAGCTAGATGCTCTTAGAAAACCCAACAAGGCAGGGCTAACATTTCAGGAAACAGCACTCAGGATGGTTTCTCCCCAGTCTGGACTCGCAGACTGGATTAATAGTTTCCTTTATGTCTGCAAGCAACTGCAAGCCTTGGGCTGCTCAGCACCACAAGCAACTTGCACAGTCCTTCAAAGCCTGGGTCTTTGGGACAGGCCCAAGAAGCAGCTCTGAGGAAGACAATGGATGTTGATGGCCAGGGTTAGGAGCTGATGCCATCTGGGATTCACAGAAGCAAAAGCCCACGCTCCCCCAGTCCTTTCCTTATTTTTGGCATCCAGGATGCACCTGGGGGTACAGCACCTTCCTGGGTATTAGAGACTGTTTTGTTCACACGTCACTCACTCATAGATACAGCCACCAATGCAGCAATCGCTATGGCCTGAAAAATAGGAGTTAGAGGCTGAAAAGTAAGACTCTTTGCCACAGGTGCCTGGGTAGGATGGCAGCTGCCCTGGGATGAAGATGATTTCCAAGGGGCTCTGTGAATTTCTAAATCTATATACTGTGTTACACTCTGCGCCACCACTCCTCATATCACACTGCAGGTTCCTCTGTTTTTCTTGGTATCCTCCATAAGGCAGTAGTGAGGGACAGAGATGCTTACTGATACTTTTAAAACAAAAAAATGTCCCAAAATGCAGTTCCCAGAAGTGAGCCCCCGCTGCCGAGTAAATGCTTAGCCGATGGGAACAGCCCTAGAGCACCGACCTAGGCCCATCTATCTCTGCAATCTCCCCAACCTCCTTGCCTATGTCTCTTTTCCCATGGCCCACTTCTGTATTTATTTTGGGTTTAACCTTTAAAAATTTTCCACTGTGTCACAAGGCACCTCCCGAGGGGCATGCCCCCAAGAAGTCAGCTCTTTGAAGTGTTCTGTTTCTGTAGCGTAAGTGATGTGTTCAATCCTGAGCTGTGCAGCAGGCTGCACACATCCTGAAAGGACTGGGGTGATGTGAGATGAATGAATCTCCCAAGAGGCAACAGGCAACCGGGTCTCTCAGCCCCGCATCTCTGCAAATGTTTCTGGTCCAACTCTGACAGGCTCCAGTGGAAGACAGGTGCTGTTGCATTTCTAGAACGTGGAGGGCAGTGTGCCTTACTGACAATTTCTCTCTGCCCCAAGACACCAAGCCTAAAAGCAAAAGATGAACCTGGACTTTAAAGGCAGACATGTGTGAGCAGAAGGCAACATGAAGAGCTGGATATTGTCTTCCGTGCATAACTTTCCAGATGGTGGTGGGTGAAACTTCTACTCAGAGTGACTTACACAATATATTTAATAAATTTCGAATAGCAATGACCCTGAAAGAAGGCTAGATGTTCACTTCTAACAGTGGTAATGATCTTAAACATCAGATGTTTCTCGCACAGGATTGCTCTTTCCTCCTTAAAAACATAAGGCCACACACAGTCCTCTTGGGCAGTGAGTTCTTACACAGTGGGATTTGAATGCAAACAGCATCGTAAGATTACAACCAGGACATCTAAGGGGGAACCAGATCGTGACTGTAACTGGAGCACAACTAGAAATGTGACCCAACTTCTTTTTAAGGACAAGTTCCATCTCTTGGGTCCTCCTTCCTCTGGATCCCAGCAGGCAAGCTGGCAAATACATCCACTTGTTGCGAACAGGTATCCACTAGCTAGTCATGTCATGCCTGGTGAAGCAAGCTCTCCCGTAGGAGATGTGGAGGCTGGGATGAGAATCTTGCAGTACGCAGGTTGTGGTATTTGGGAGCCCAAGAAGATGCAGGCAGCAGTGATGAGGCGCAGTCTTCCTAGGTGCTCTTTCTGAGTCCTCCTCCTGTGTAACACACTTAGTTGTCAAGGGCCCAATTCTCCCAGAACCTCAGAGATGAAAACCTTTGATCCAAAACTGAATCACCATGAAAACAAAACGCTGCAGTCTACTTGAGATCTTTTTTTTTTTCTGAGTAAAATTTTTATTGAATCTCTCAAATGTTGCCAAGAAATAGTTTTTGCAAAAGGGGGTAAAAGCTAACAAACAAATTCAACATGGGAGCTCCCTCTGCTGGTCTGTAGTAGGTTGATATGTGACAAACACATTCCCAGAGACAAATCTAATTTGCTGGAGAAGTGGACAAAAGACAGGTGTGTTGGGCTTTGCCTCAGGAGAGAAACACTAGAAGAAAAAAAAAATCCATGTCTCAAAACAGAGCATAACATTGCTAAGAAAAGCAAAATTACTTAGAAGACTCTCCAAAAACATTACAAAACTTCCAAGACAAAAACTGATTTATTCACTATGGGGAGAGGCTCCATCTGGGACTCCCCACTCTGTTCTACCTCCAGTTAGTAAGATTCTCTGATGCCCTCAGGTGCAGTTAGGTGCTGATTCCCTTGTCTTTGACTCCAAGTCTCTTCTCACAGGCTTCCCTTTTACTCAGGAGGAAAAAGTTCCAAGGAGTCACTGTACTGAAGCCTCTCCAGGATGCCATTAAAGATTTAAGTCTTTGGTGGGCCAGCACCTCAGGATGGAAAGAAACAGGCCTAGGAGTCAGGTGACTGGTCTGGGTCTGGTCATGGTAGAGCCATTGTGACTTTGGGAATCTCTCTCCCATCTTCGCAGGCCTGTTTCCTCATCTGTAAAATGGGTCATATTGGCTGATCTGCAAAACTTCTACCTGTTCACTCTGAGTCCCAAAATGGAACATTTACATAACCATCATCTGTTCATGATTCTTTGAGATACAGAGTCCAATGCTGACCTGGAATGATTCCAAATAAGAAGTGATCCATGTGGATCTCATCGGCACTGGATGAGAGTTCAGCCAAATCTAGCACTGATGTGGCAAAGGAAAGTATACTCCCAGCTATGAAGGATTCATGATAAAAGAAGAGCTCCCAGGGAAAGGTGCCATGTGGGCAACATATCCCACCGAGTCAAATGGCTGAGTCTACCTAACCTCGAACTACCTCCCCTTCCCTCCTCACCATGCAGGGTGGGTTCTCTAACCAAATCCCCAGAATCACTTGATTTCAGCTGTTATATGAATGAAGCAAGGGCAGATGTTGTGGTCCAAAGAAACTACTCCCAGTCTTTTCCAGCCACTGTCAACTCGGGATTCTGCAAAGTAATAACGAAAGGCCTTGCTGTTGACTTAACAAAGCCAGGAGTGGCCTTAACTCACTGAAAGCCATCTGGTGAAGGAGACCTCATCCACAGATTGGAGTGGGGGTGGGGGGCAGGAAAGAAGGGTTTCTCAATTACTCCTTGTCACCTACTACACACCTACGGACAACTCGGCAGAAGCGAGTCACAGGTTTTCCTTCAGCTGTCTCTCCTGTTATGTGTCAGCTGGAAGGGGCTGGAGCAATGACATGGGCAGAAAGTGGCAAAGCGGCGTGGGGGGAAAAGCACATGGCACAGCCAATCCTCTGCTTTAATTTCTGTGCCAAGTCCTCTTATCACCATCTCCATCTTCCTTCCCCAAATGTACTGCTTTTCTGCTTCCTTCTCCCAACAGAGGGTCGTCACCACTGCAGGCAGAAAGCGTGGGTAGCTCAGCTGAGAAAACGGAACTCAGCAAATGATGCTCCTGACCCAGCAGCAGCTTTCAAGGTCCTTCATAGGGGGCTGCTTCTAGATGTCTTAATACAGCTCTGAACAACAGCAAAAATTCAGAAGGAAAGAGTTTCTGGGAAACTGCAAATTTCATCCAGCACTGTAAACAAACACTGAACAAAAACAAAAACCCCACCTATCCTAGTCCAACAAATTTTCAAAAACCAGGCAGAGTGACACATGATCTAAGAAGAATGGAAATGTATATTCTTTCTACTTATTTTCTATTGATCATCACCCTCTGTGGGCCAAAGAATGAGTGGTTATTTCCAAAGGCAAATCTTAACGGTGTCGGCTACTACTGCTTATACTAAAAGCAAACCTCAGGAACACATTTTCTCCAGGGAGACAGGAAGTGTTAGTATACAGATAGTCATCACTGGGGAGAGGCAAAGGAGTTTTGTTTAGAAACTCAGGCTATTCTTAACTAAGAAAGTAAGTGAGTCAGAAGAGAGGCTCTAACTTGACTTATAATTACATTTTAGACACTATACTGTATCTTTGCTCTGGAGTTTCCTAAACATGGAACAAGGAAGCCTTTATCTTTCCTGAAATACACGTAAGAAGCACAGTTCTTCTCCTGGAACTCCCTCTTTGGTCACTAGATCGCCAAGAAACATGACTGCAGAAGTCTCTCCAGACACAGAAACCTACAGACCAATCTAACTCCAGCTCAAGTGCATGCCCACCTCGCAGCCCATCCACATGACAAGAATTGCACATCTATGCTCCAGTGATGACCTTGAGCTAACTGGGAGCCAGGGGAGGTAACCCCGCCCCAGTCCCTTCTGTGTGAGATGAGGGTGAGATCATTAAGGAAGGCAGAGGTGTCACTGGGGGCAAACATCAGGCAGTGGGTGGTATTGCTGTAGACGGTCCTCATAAGTCCCGGAGGGGTGTCAGCTGGACGAAGAGGGGATCATTCATTTCCTGGAGGTGGCTCTGTTAGCTGGAGCGGTGTTAGTTGTATGGTGTGCTCTGGGGAACCAGGTCTGGAAGGCCTGGTGGTAGAGTGAGTGAAGTTGTGGCCGATGGGTATAAATTACCTGAGCATGCAGTGAAGCGGGATAGGTGAAAGCAGGAGGAGGTAGAGCAGGCGCTAATTCCGCTGGGTACAGAGGGTACGGGGCCCACACTTCAGGGCTACTGGGGTAAAGTGCAGGCACTGTGAGCTCATCTGCAAGAAAAGAATAAAGGAAGAGTTAGTGGTTAGCAAAAACAGTCGGTTTCACATCAGAAAACAAAATACCCAGTAACCCCTGAGCCCCAGTCAATGCTGGATGTCAAATTATGCTCACTCTTGTAACAACCTGCTGGCGTTGGTTCTCCAAACTCTAAGAAAGTGAATAATCAATACAATATAAACAAGGCAACAAGCATCTGCTGCCTGGCTGGCCTGCTGAAGTCTCAGGCCTTGAGTCTTCCTTAGAACTGATGTCTTTCCAAGTATAGCTAGGGAACCAGAGAGCAGTGGGAACTTTCTGCAAAGAAAAGAAAATGTGATCCTCTGAGGAATGGAAGGAAGAGAAAAAGCCACCAGGAGATATCCCACGAGAACCCTCTGCAGAGTGTCTGGGACAACAATGAGTTACTGGCAGAACCCCAACGGACCAGAAGAACCAAAGATTTTGTTTTTAAGTACAGATAGTTGCTACTGACTAACCATGATGAAGCAATTCCCAATAAGCTTTCAGAAGTACAAGAAAAAAAGTACTGGGACCACATGACATTTAAGATGTTAAAACTTCAGATGAGAGAAGAAAAAGGGAGAACAGAATTAAAGTTAAGCTCCATAAAGATGCAAGAACACTTAAAGCTGCTGTTTGATCTGACACTACCTGTTCAAGGGAAAAAAAGTAAGACATCATGCCAATTGCATGGGCTAAATCTGTACAGTTCCAGTTCCGTGCAGGTCAACTACAATTTCCCAGATGGAAGGGCAAGTGCTGGGCTTCCCGATGTATCAGAGAGCAGTCCATTAAAAGCAACAGTGAGCACATGAGTGCGTTTCTCGGCAAAAACAAAAAATGACATCAGTCAATAGTTAGGAATCTGGGCCCTGTGAAGCAGCAACCTCCATCCGTGCTTTTATCACTTGTCACAATCCGAAATCAAGTACACCAAGGATGCTTTCTAGAACTGCTGAGGGAGTCAGGAAAGGTGCCTTGACAAAGCCATTAGTTATTGCCATTCACGACTTTACAGAAGTCTGCCAGGCAAGTAAGTGACCCACAATCCAGGGACAACCGCAACCTTTCCTACCTAGCCATTCCAACACTGATGTCTTCCTTATCCTTCCCATGCCCCAAAACTTTATTTTCAATAAAGGAAGGGAACAAGAAATAGCAAGCTGCTTGGTGGGTGTGATATGTGGGATTGTCCTACAGCAGTGGTTGTGAACCCATGGCACCTTTGGTGCAGGCAGCTGACTGTTACCACCGAAAGCTCTGAAAGGTACACCATCACTGCAATCTACAGAGCAACAGGAAAGTCAGGCCTGTGGATCGGGGCAAGGGGTAGGTGAGGTTTAGCACAGCTAACCTGCATGGCAAAATCTTCCCGGCAGTGGCTGTGGTGGGGGTAACGACAAGAGCTGAACTTCGTGCACTTAAGAGGACAGTCGTACATTTCCAGACCTAATGACATCCCAGCAATATGGCTTAACATACTACGACTGGCCAGTTTCCCTGACTCCCTCCTCAATAGGGCAGTGAAAAGTACTCCTGAGGGCCCGATGATGGGAATACAGACTACTATATACTGGAATTTGGGAGCCCAAACTGTAACAGTGGAGTGTTAGCTGTTAAGTGGGCAGGAAACATTAGCATCAAGTCTCTTTAAAACAATCAGCTTCACACCATAATTCAAGTTCTAAAGTATTTGGGTGTCTAGCTCACAACTCAGGAAACCCCTGAGAGGGGCTGAGAGACAGCTTCACAGACCCCTGTGTTTCCTGCTGTGATGTGACCATATGCTTTCCATTAGAGCAATTCTTGTGGGAGCCCAGCTAGTGGAAACTAACTGCTGCCAGGACCAGGGCCTTGGATTTCAAACAAACAACCACTCTCAGCAATGGCAAGCTATTATTGTTGTTGTTATTGTTATTTTAGCTACTAGGCTATTTTAAGACATTCTGAGACTCTTATAAAAGTCAAGAGAATCTCAGGCTTTGGTACACTAATCTCTAGCCCATGTGTGTCTGGCCCCTCTGTTACAGAAGTTAACCCCAGAGCTGATATATCAACTAATACCCAGTAGTGAAGACCAGCAGAGCAGGAGCGTTCAGCTCGCAGTCTGTTAGCAGTCCTGCCTCACCTTCCTAGCAGGAACTGGCTAACTTGAGGGACCTTCATCTGATAAGAGGGTCCTTCCTTCAGAGAGTCTGAAAAACGAAGAGCATATCCTTTTAGATATTTGGTCCTAAAGAGATAAATATGGAAGATAAGGTGGAATCAAGTTTCACTCTTGGTTTGACTGGTAGAATTTATTATTTCCAGACATTTATCAGCATTTGGACAAAACCTGGCCCAGCAAAATAGTATGTGTTCTGAGACCTCTGAAACTCAAACGTTGCTGAGCAGTAGAGCAAGTACAGCAGAGGCCTGAAGGAGATGAACTTACACTTGACGAGGGGACACACCTGTTTACATTTCCTCACCCCTTTCCCCTTTCGTTCCCTTGTGAAGGAATCTAACAGCAAAGAGCATGCAGCCAGGTGAGGCTTACATCTGCCGGACAGTCCTCACAGAGGTGTGCATTTCAGCGTGAGGCTGAGAACTCTGCTAAAAAATGCCCCCTTCCCCTTTCCCAGAAGAGGACATTAATCAGAAGGAGCCTTTTGCATATGGACACTCTTTCTGGTGTTGGGAAAATGAGAAGCTAAAAAGTAGGAGGATTTTCACAAGCCAAGCCCTTTGGCGAGTGGCTACTCAAATGCAGGGGCAGCTTGGCTTTAATGGGATTCACCTGCCCAGTCACTGCCCAGCACGCTCAAGCTTCCTCACAGGGGAGAAACTGCAGCCCAAGGCCCAGAGGATACACTGGTGTTCAACAAGGGGTCTGTTCCTCTGCACAAAAGAGGCTCCTGACCACCCAGGGTGAGCCAAGCACAGCTAACAGAGGGAGCAGATCAAGAGGCCAGGGCCTTTTTGTCTAAGCTAATCCTACCCTCAGAGAAGTAGGGTAAATCCTCCCTTGGCCAGATCTCCCTATAGCCTTTTTCCTTTTGCACTTTTGGAGGATAATGCTGCTGAGGACTCTCAATATACATCTGAATAGGGCTTTTTCTTACCAAGAGATATGCAACCAGAAGAGCTAAGATTGGCTTTAGACAAACAAGGACTGGAACTTCCAATTGTATCCCAATGGGGGGGGGGTTGTACCTCCAGAAACCTGAAGATTATCTAATCTGCCTTTTACTTTGATATTAAAGAGTAAAGCAGAAAGAAGCAGCTTCCAGTCCAAGGCCTGAAACAAGGAAAGTCCTTAATTGTCTTAAGGTTCAGAAACTTCAAATCAGTATTTTACCTCCCAGATATTTCTACTTGGAAATATTCCACACCAACCTCATGTTCAACAAAGCCCAAACTCAATAACACCCTCAGGAGCCTGCCTCCTTCCTTTCAAAGCTCAGTGAAAGACACCACCTTCTCCCAGGTGCCTTAGTCAGAGGCCCTGTGTGACCTCAAGTCTCCCTTCATTCAGTTTTTTACCAGCGTCCAGCTGAAATGACATTATCATCCACTTTGATTTTAATCATCAGTATTTAATTACTGAAAAGGCCTACTCAAGTCCTTATGGCCATCACCTTGAAGAACTCACAACTTGAAAAAATGTACAATTTATCCCAGCACCACAAAAATCAACCAACCAACCAACCAGCCAGCCAGCCCTCTTTTCAGTCATGTCAGTCTCCTTCTTAAAACTATTCTGTGAGGTACCCTTAATAATCTCAGAGCAGTGAGTGTCTGGACCTCCCATGAATCTCGGCCTACAGGACCCCATGCAGCCTAGCCTTGCTATACTCAAGTCCCTAGGGCCACCTGGCTTTCTCCAGGGTCTAGAATTAATCATTTCCACTGCATGACTACACACACCTATTTCTCTCCCATACACTGCTTCTCTTGACAAGGACATTCTTTTCCCGCTCTGCTCACACCCAGCTTGACTCTTCAGAGGACTTCACTTAGATGCCACTTCCTTGAGAGCCCTCTTGCTCCAGTGTGTCCTGCAACCTCTATACTCTACACTGCAGTGGTTGTGTCTCCAACAGTAAGCTCTTACACTTGCTTACCCAGTGCCTAGCACAGGTCTATCAGACAGTGCAGTGAATTCCTGAAGAAGAAACACAACATTCCATTGTGCATTCCCAGGTGGAAAAGATCACACTGCATTTCACGTCTATTCTCTTGGAAGAGAAATACCCACAGAAGGGCACCAGGATGTCAATATCTCAAGTCCCTTATACTGTCTGAACTAACACTAAAATGTGAGTCTGGTCTCACTGTTCAGCGCTCCTTTGGTACATCACTTCAGGTGGCGGTGATGGGGCCCGGAAATGCAGGTGATCTTTATCTCTAGCTTCTAGCATACTCAGTTTAATACAATAAACTCAAGGACAGAGCATAAGCAGAGGCCTTATCCAAGAGGTGAGTAACACAACTAGGAAAGATATTTTCTGGAACAAAACTAAATCCTGGATTCTGTGAGCAGTCTCTTTCTCCTCACACATCTCACAGCAAGTAGCTGGCCCGTGCCTGTGAAGTAAACCCTTCAGAACTCAGACTGAAAGCCCACTCCGAAGGACTGGCCTATCAAGACCGGCTCCTCTGAGTTTAGGGCACAGCTGTACGGACTGAAGCAGCCCAGGGCAGTGCACACTGGCCCCGGAAATGTGCTGAACTGTGTTCCCCCCAATTCACACTTACCTGGATCTTCGTAACATTAGATTAGGTGGAAACAGGGTCTTTGTAGATAGAATTATTGAAGGATTCTGATATGACGGAAGTAGATACTAGAATGATGTGCCTACAAGCAAAGGAATGCTCATGACTACCAGCAGCCACCAGAGTTAGGAGAGGCTTCCCTTCCAGGAAAGCCAAGACTGCTCAATGCTTGTTTGCAGACTGTTTGGCATTTCTCGCCTAACAGCCTTTCTGAAGCAGCAGTTTCAGCCTG